TAGTGGATGTGTAGACGGTAAAAAGCGCATACTGACTGTGGATATGGGCGCATCACATTCCATAATTCGATCTGATCTGGTTGAGAAAGAAGTGAGACCGTTAGCTGGGGCAAAGTTGCTTACTGCAACTGGAGAAGATACCCTAGTTCTCGGAAAGGTAACGTGCGAGATCGTAATTGGAAAGACAGCCGTGTTACACAATTTTATAGTGGCAGATATCGTTGACGAAGTCATAATTGGAGTAGACTTTCTAGCGAATCAAGGAATCAAAATTAACATGAAAAACAAGATTATGTCCTATGGAAATATGGAAGTGCCACTTATGTTCGGTTACGATAATAAGTACAACGTTAGACAAGTGATAACAACAGAGAGCCAGCAGATTCCACCAACATCAGAAGCAATTTTTTGGGCAGAAATAGATGGAGACTATGGGTCAAACAAGTGGTGGATTGTTGAGGCCACAAAAGAATCTACACCAAACTTACTCATAGGCAAAACCCTGGCTATGACAAGACAAGATAAACGTGTTCCAGTAAGAGTACTTAATGAGTGCAAGTTACCAATCAAACTCTCCAAAGGAGTTGTATTAGGGCAGTGTCAAAAGATTGAGGCCGTGATAAATTGCGAAATAGGTCTTGAGGAAGATTCCATGGACGAAAACGATATATCGAGCGAATTTAACGCATGGACCGAGGAACTAGAGGCAAACTATCAACCTTCGGCTAAACAACTTCTTCTAAGATACTCATCCATATTTGATAAAGACGATGCCAAACCAGGAAAAACCAAAGTTGTGAAACATTTTATTAACACAGGTAATGCAAGACCAATCCGCCAGGCTCCTCGAAGCGTTCCTTTAGCAAAACGAGAAGTTGTAAACCAGACCATACGTGAAATGAGCGAAAGCGGCGTAATCGAACCATCAGAGAGTCCGTGGAGCTCACCTGTAGTACTTGTGAAGAAGAAAGATGGCAACATGAGATTTTTTGTGGACTATAGAAGGTTGAATGATGTAACGAAGAAAGACAGTTATCCACTACCTAGAATCGATGATACACTCAACTCGTTATCAGGCACAAAATGGTTCTCAACACTTGATTTCAAAGGTGGTTATTGGCAAGTGGAGGTAAACGAAGAAGACAAAGAAAAGACGGCTTTCAGCGTTGGAGATGGTCTATGGCAATTTACCGTAATGCCCTTTGGATTATGTAACGCTCCTACTACTTTGAGAGACTTATGGACCAGGTATTAAAAGGATTACACTGGAAGACCTGTTTGCTATACCTCAACGATATCATCGTGTTGGGTAAAAGCTTCGATGAACACCTTAAGAACTTGAAAGAGGTTTTCCAACGGATAGCTAGCGCTGGTCTCAAGCTGAGTCCAAAGAAGTGTTCCCTTTTCAAAAAGGAAGTAAACTACTTAGGACACAAAGTGACAACGGAGGGCATTTGCACAGCTAATGAAAAGATCGAGGCAGTAAGAGATTGGCCCACTCCTAAAATTTTACATGAATTGCGGAGTTTCCTTGGACTATGTACTTATTATAGACGATTCGTTCCAAATTTGGCCAGCGTAGCTAGTAGCCTCCATGAACTCACGAAAAAGAACAGAGTTTTTGAATGGAATAAAGAGCAGAAAGTGGCTTTCCAAACTCTGAAGCCAGATCAACGTTTATTTTGGATACGGATGCTAGTGGATTTGCAGTAGGAGGATGCTAGTGGATTTGCAGAGCGAAATTTATTGTGTTACTCGGAGGGAATTACTGGCGTTGGTGAAGTGCATCAAACATTTTCATAAGTACCTTTATGGCCAGTGATTTCGGGTGAGGACAGATCATGCAGCATTAAAATGGCTTCTACAATTCAGGAACCCAGAAGGACAGTTGGCACGGTGGATTGAGAGACTCCAAAGTTACGACTTCTCTATAGAACATCGCAAAGGTAGTAGTCATGGCAATGCTGATGCCATGTCCCGCCGTCCCTGTTATCTGGAATGCAGACATTGCTCAAAAGCTGAGGCCACAGAAGACATTATAGATGGCCGGTTAATGACTATAACATCAGACTGGAATCCGGAGGAGCTACGGAAATGTCAGCAAGAGGATGCAGATTTGAAAAGCGTAATACACGGATTGGAGATGAATAAACGTCCAACAAGAGAAGAAATAGCTGCAGAAAGCCCAGTCGCAAAGGCTTATTGGGCACAATGGAATAGTTTGAAGTTAGTGTCTGGCTGCTTGCATCGCGTATGGGAAAGCGAAGATGGGCAAAGTTCACGAGCTCTGATGATTATTCCAAAAGTAAGAATTCCTGAAGTTCTCAAGGAACTGCACAACGGTCCAAGTGGAGGACACATGGGTATCACTAAAGCCCTGGAGAAATTAAAACAAAGATTCTATTGGGTTGGTTGTCGTCAATCAGTTACGGAGTGGAAAGCCAATTGTGTCGAGTGCATTGCTGCTAAAGGGCCGCGGTCCAGGAGTCATGGTCAGATGAAGCAGTACAATTCAGGTGCGCCGTTTGAGCGAGTAGCCATGGATGTAGCTGGTCCATTTCCTATCAGTAAATTAGGAAACATATATGTTTTGGTAGTCATGGACTATTTCAGCAAATGGCCAGAGGTATACGCAATTCCTAACCAGGAGGCGGGAACAGTAGCGGATGTATTCATCAACAATTGGGTATCGAGATATGGTGTTCCAAGAGAATTACATTCTGACCAAGGAAGAAATTTTGAATCAGCTCTAATACAGGAGATATGCCAGAAGCTGGGTATCCGGAAAACCCGTACAACTGCACTACATCCGCAGTCCGATGGTATGGTAGAACGATTCAATTGAACTTTCGAAGAACATTTGAGGAAAGTTGTGGACAAGTATCAAAAAGATTGGGATACCCATATATCCTTGTTCCTGATGGCTTATCGGTCTGCTGTACATGAAACAACGGGCCAGACTCCAGCAAGGGTAATTTTTGGTAATGCTCTTCGACTACCGATTGATTTAAAATTTGGAATTAACGCCAACGGGGGAAGGAATACTAAGGAATTCAATAGCATCCTAGAAGACGAGATGAGGGATATACATGCTATGGTGAAACAGCGCACCAAAATTATGAGCGATAAGATGAAAGCAAAATCCGACAAGGCAATAAACTCTGAGGGTTTTGTTGAATGCGATTGGGTATTGTTATATAACCCACAACGAAAGAAAGGGCTGTCTCCCAAATTACAGTGTAATTGGGAAGGACCATACCAGGTTATTAAACGACTCAATGATGTAGTGTATCGCATACAGACCATTGGAAGGCCAAGGAATAAAATGAAGGTGGTTCATCTGGAACGGCTTGCAGCGTTTGGTACCGCAAATATGTCTAATCGGGACGATCAGACTGGACGATCAGACACAAGTACCAGAACAAATCAGAATTAACGATAAACTGCCAGAACTAGACAGCGAATTCGTAGTTGCCAGAATGTTCTAGTAGCGAACTTTTGTTAAAAATTTACTATATAAGGGCTGCCGGATCGTGCAGCAGACACAGTTCTAATTAAAGTGTTACCGTGTAAAGAGCAATTAAGCTATAAGCAATAAGTTGTAAGTTCGAATAGCGAGCAATAAGTGTTAAGTTGTTGGAATTAGGAATAAAGATAAGTTTATAGCGTTAGATTGGGACTTTAATTTAACAATCCAGTGATCGAACTCAAGAGTGAGTTACAGGTAGACGATTTATCGAGAAATCCGTTACGCTATTAAGTTATTCGATAGTTCAGCAATTTTCATTCTTTCGATAGTTTACAGGAAATCATTCATTACTAAATTTTCGTTCATTACAATTTTTTCGTTTATTACTAGTTCTTTCATTCGTTACTAATTTTTCGTTCATTAATATTTTTCGATTTTGAACGATTTTTCAAATGAATGATATTTAGTGTATGCAAGTAGATTTCTAGCAAAGCTGTTTTGTACGAATTAATTTATTCCCTTTTAAGGGCTTCACCTACTCTTAATAATATTATATTCAGCAAATGTTCGAATAATGTTTAAATTATGTGTATTTCAAAATTATGAAGAATGATTTATATTAAATTGGGAAAACTTTAGTATACCGTCCCAGGCTTTCGGGGATACATTGGGTATGGGCGGGTAGAGGAGATCCTCCAGATCAAGAATATATAAAGATATATAGCCGCGGGAAACCAATAGTTTTCGAGATATTTACGTTTAAAGTTGAAAATTTAAACTATTTATAGTACGAATTTTTTATATTTTAAATGAAACATACACTTTTATTTTTCACTTTTATATCCACTAACACTTCACTAATTCGTTTGTACACATTTATTTTACATTATATAGTGCAAAAATAGTTTAATTCAAAAATAATTAAAATATTGTTAAATTCTATTACTTCTGACAATAACAAAGAGGTTGCAAAATGTCAAATAACCAGTGTTACCTTATCGACATCTTTTGTAATTGAACTGAAAGAAATTAAAACAGATAATACCCCAAATACAGAAATCCAAAACCTAGAGAAATAAACTATTTCAGAGCATTGATGTTAAGTATTATGTCATACCCTCTATGACAATATTGCTTTTTCTTGTAGAACTTCTTTTTGCGTTGGCGGCCTTCGGCCGCGCTTCAAATAAATTAAGCCTGGTCGGCCCACCCCGGTGGGGTGAGGTTTTTAGGCGCAGAAATTCTTTTTACGTTGGTTCCTGTTTCTAGGGTATAATCTCTCTGTTTATTTTATTTTTCTTCGTTTACAAAATATATTAGTATGGCAACACTGGTTTTTTGTCAAAAATTAATAAAATTGAAGAATGATTTAAATATTGAAATAAAGTTATTTTTGCAGCATTTAATATACAAAAAATGTCTAACAACGAATTAGTCAAGTGTTAGTGGATAAAAAGTGAAAAATATAAGTGTATAATTCATTTTAAATCGCAAAAATACATACTTCAAATAGTTAAAATTTTCAACTTCAAAAACTATAAGTTTCCCGCGGCTATATCTATTATATTCGCCCATACCCATTTTATCCCCGAAAGCCTGGGACGGTATACTAAAGCCGACCCATTAAATTATATATAATAATGGAAATTAAATTATATGCATGTATGAATTGCAGAGTTAATAGATGCTTAAAACAGATTTCGGAGAAAAATATTTAAACTACTCATAATAAATAAAGATTTATGAATAATGTAGGGGCCATTTCCAAGTAAGTAAGATGACTAAAGTAGATTTATGTGGTCATCGGTGATATTTGGCAAGCTTTATTGACAGTTTCCAGTTGGTAGGAAAAATTCCAATTGTTTTGAATTGAGCAAATTTGTCAAATTGGTTTGCGATTCGAAATTGTAATTATGTATACATGCACTTAATCGTTTTACTGTCTGTAATATAATATTTGCGTCAATAATAGTTTAAATTGGATTGCATGGTAATATGAAATTTATATATTTTATAAAAAAAAAGTGCTGAAAATATTTTTAATATAAAATAACAGTTCAACCAAACTAAAATGCGGTCAGGATTAATGAGATTATCGATGTGGAAGTTTTTTTTACTAAAATTGGTAATAATGTTAACTGTAATATTTGTAAAAAAAATTTCAAGTTTTCTGGTAATACATCAAATTCAAATGATCGCCTACGACGAAGGCATCCATCATCACTTAGTGTGGAGGAGACTCCTCCGGCAATAGTCGAGGATAAGAAAGTTATATATAGCAAGCTGTTATAAATGGAAAGATATGTGATTTCAGAAATATCAAAGGAAATTTTTGAAAGATAGTTAAGTAGTGTTTCTTTGATACCAACTGTGAACGTGGAAATTGCGCCAAGTTCTTTAACAATACCTAATAGAAATGTTTCAGGTGGTGAACTATTAAAAAGAAGGGCAATACAAATAAAGTTATTTGTTACAAGCCGGCGATCTGAGCTTTTAGAATCTGAAAAGGGAAATATCGATAAATCTCTCAATAAAATGGTTTAAATAGATCTACAACCACTCTCCCTTGTCGAAAATGAAGGATTCCGCAATATACAAAAAAGCTTTAGCCCTTGTATTCTATCCCAAACAGAAAACTTCTTTCCAATACGATGTTGCCAGCAAAATATATAATATGATACGGAAAAAGCTTAATGAAATTTTGCAGCCAAAACTCTTTTTGGTCTGTTACTAGTAATTTTATTTGGGAAAATAAAATGAACTATGTAGTCCTGTCATCTAAAGAAGTGTTCGGCTCACATACGGCGCAAAATATAGCCACAGAATTAAAAAAAAAATTTGACGAGTGGTCAATTTTTAATTAAATAAATACGATTGTAAGTGATAACGGCGCAAGTATCAAAAAAGCAATAAGTGATTACAAAAACTCCACCACCCATGTGTGGGTCACTCCCTAAATGTATGCGTTGTTGATGCCATGAAGGCTGTTCCTCAGATTTCAGAGCTTATAACGAAATGCAGAGCTATAGTAACATATTTCAATCATAGTTTTCAAGCAGCAGAAAAACTTAAGAGCATGCAAAAACACAAGGGTGTGGCTAAACTTAAGATGAAGCAAGATGTTGCAACTAGATAAAATTCGGGCCATTTCATGATGGAACGTTTATGGTTGATAAAAGAACCGCTCTCTGCTGTAATAACTTCTTTACCAAATGTACCGGATTTTTGGAATGCATCAGAATGGGAAAAATTACGTGATTCCATCAACATATTTAAGCCGATAGAGCATAACTATCCAACGATGTCACTGATTGTGCCTATAGTCCGAGGACTCCAATTTGCAATAAGATCCCAGCAAATTAATACTACGGAGGGGGAATGGTTAAAAAGTAGTTTGTTGGAAGTTATTTCGGTACGGTTTGATTGTATTTGGAAATCAAACTAACGCAAGTAGTGCTCAAAAATGGTTGGCAGAAGAGATTACAGCTTTAATACAAAGTAACCGAAGGGATTCCACAGTCCCAGTAATAGAATTACCCGTGCATAAAAGTATGTTATCAAGCAAAAACTATTTACCACATCGCGTCTAGTGGTAGCGCACATATTGCTTTAGGGCAAAATCTTAAGCAAGTAACCCCTTAAAATACTAGGACAACAAAAAATCAGCTTTCCAGAACTCTACGAACTGTCAAAAAATTATTTATGCATACTTGGACTTCAGTTGCATCCGTAAAGCTGATCAAATAATAAATGACAGAAGAAATAGTCCAAAACGAAAGCTTGTTCGTATAATATTCTTAAATTGCAATTTGGTGTAAAATACATTTTTTTTTTACATATTATGTTTATATTTATTTTAATTTATATTGAATTTCTTTACTGCGTTATATTATTTTTAAGTTTTACTAATATATTGAAATAAAAAAAAAACTTTGTATTGATTTAATTAAAAATGAATAAAATACCAGTACTTTGAATTGTTGTTTGAAGAGCACGACTTGACCTTTGTTATTAAATTTGAATAAATAAATGAATGAATGAATGAGTAAAAAAATTAATTCGATAGTAAAAATCATTCAGTTATTAGCTAACGACAGTTGAAATCATTCGATAGTTCCCAGCACTAAAACATATCTCAGCTTGTATATTGAATTAGAGGCACTGCCAGCTCATAGTATTTTTTCATTCACAATAGTTTAATTTTTGCAGAAAAAATAAGTTGGAAATAATTATAATAGGTATAATAGTATAAAATAATTGAGAAATTGTGTAAGTGCTTGGTGTGCATGTAGGTAGGTAGGGAGAGTGGATGTCGGACGACACGCTAGACCTTAAAGAGCCTATTATGACACCACAGGGACTAAAATACCCTCACTCCATCATGTCTTCTTAGCTTCTACAATAGTCATTGTATGGTGTTCTCAGTCTGCTGGCATATCTGACAATTAGACAACGACCTGTAAGCACTCCTGCTAGAGTTCTAATATCATTCCTTTCGAATTTTATTAATTAATTAATGTTAAGCCAGTTAGGGACTGACTTCACCGAGACTCAGCTATATCTATAACATGTGTGTCGATCAAATATCTACAAGTAGCCAGAGGCATAAAAATTCCCTCTTTTTTGGATTCCAGTTCTAGGGTGGTGCCTGGTCTAGCTAGTTCATCGGAAGTGTCCTGAAATCCATTGCTGGTTTATCGTGAAATAGGATATTAGATCTACCTTGAGATCATGGCATTCTTTTACTATCTTTGATGAAACCTTGAGAGCCTTTAGTGATTTTAAAACCGTTTGGCTTTCTGTCCATATGGATATATTTCTTGTTGTGGACACAGTCTTTGTCAGAACAAGAAGGATTTCTTTAATTGGTGTGATCTCCACTTGCAAAACACTGCAGTGGTCTGGTAGCCGAAATGCGAATCTGGTATCTAATTTGGTAAAAAAAAACCACCTCTCACTCGATTATCTAGTTTGGACCCATCCGTATAGCAACTTAGTCTTATATACCTGTCCACTTCACCCCTTCTTCGCTCTTCTCGGGAAGGGAAGGCAATTCTACAGGATTTCGAAATCCGTAGCATTGGGAAGAACCGCGAACATAGGGTGAGTTCGAGATGGCAATCACGACAGCAGTGTTGCAAATTTGTCAAAGTATCACTTTCTACGTGAATTTTTGGCAACACCTGCAACAGCATCACGTGCTGCTGTCATTTTTTGTACGCAATTTATGCAAATAATCGGCAACACTAAATTTTTGTCTGCACATCAGCAGAGTATCAGCAAATATGCAACACAGTAGCTGTACTGCTTCAATTATTACGTAGCTCGAACGCACCCATACTAAGTATCTTAGAAAGCCCCTTTTTACAGACGACTATTAGGGAGAATTACATCAGTATAAGAGCTGTCTTAGCTATCAGTTACTTGCAGAACAAGTCTTTGCACAGCAAATGCAAAATAACGTTTAGCGTCTGACTTGGCGTTGTTCTAAGAGCTCCGCTCATGCATATACTTGCTGCTATTTATATACTTTCCATACACTTTCCCGCATATTTATTTTTATTTTTTTATTATTGGCCATCATATCAATATACCATATGTCATAATCGGCCTTACAAATGCTGTGTAGAGCCAATGAGTTACGCGGAGCGTTAGTCCGCATTTGGGCCCACCATCCAGGTATTGAATAAGTAGACCCTCGAACAAAGTATCGTAAATAAAAATGTCCGAGTAATGCGTATATACAAATTAATTTAATTTTTCATTGGTGGTGGGTTCACAATTTGTAAATAATTTAAATAAACAATAATTACGTTCAGAGGACACTGCAAATAGTGGTGGTGTCTTCGTGTGCGGTGAAATCTTTTGAGCATTCTTAGGTGTGGTATGTTGTATTAAAGTGTGAGTAGTGTTCCCGGTTGGGGTGGGTAGTATTAAAAAGCGTCAGTTTTGTGCCGGGTAATGTTGTGTGACATGGGTCAAGATTCAACTCATTAAAATAGGTGTTTTTTAGCTGCTTTCTTCACTCTTGATTTCCACGAAAGCTTACTATCTAAAATTAGTGATAAGTAGCTTCTCTCATCTCCTATTGTTAGCCTGGTACCATTTAATAATGGCGGCATAGCTTCTGGAGCATTGTATAAGTATTTCCTAGTGAAAAATACTAGCTCCGTCTTACTAGCATTTAGGTTATGTTCGCACGATACGGCCCAACGATTTATGTCATTTAATATTGTTTGTATAAGGTTAGCGAGGGTATTTGGGAATTTGCCTCTAAACGAAAATGCCACATCATCAGCGTAAGCCACAACATGTACCACCTTGTTTCCTAGACCTAACAACATTTTATTCATTGTTAAGATCCAGAGAAGTGGAGATAACACGCCTCCTTGAGGCAACAGATCTGGACATCGTTGAAGCTCCCAGCGTTGAAATAATTGCTCGTGAGCATCTGTTCAATAAATTTTTTGAGTGGTTCAGAGATGTCGAAATCTTTAAGCGCGCTCAGTATGTCTATGTCTAAGATGACTACTATATTCTTTAACCTCCAGAGATTTTTCAATCTCTGTTACCACTGAGCTAAGTGCTGTTTCTGTGGATTTTCCTTTAGAATATGCATGCATTGAAACAGCCAGTTTTTCTAGCTTAATTTGTTTCTTATGTGTATTTCTATTAGTTTCCTAACGTTTTTAAGAGGAATGAGGAAAAACTAATTGGTCTGAAATCCTTTGGACTTGTATGTGAGATTTTGCCCGCCTTTGGTATAAATATTACTTTGACTTTCCTCCATAACAGAGGAATATAGGTAGTTTAATTGCAGCGCCCCTTTAAGAAGGGTTACTAGCCAGACTATTATATAGTTCTGGGACTGCGGTAATTGAGCCGTTTCTATACCGGCAGGTCACGGCGTTTTTAAGAGCTTAAAACTGCTAATCGCCCAATAAACATTTCTTTCTAACACTATATCTACAGAAATGGACTCAATCTCTTCTACTTGTATTTTGTCTTGCCCATGAAATTAGTATCTATAAGTAGGCCTAAGGATTCTTTACAGGATACCGTCCAGTTGTGATCTGGCTTCTGAAGGTACCCATATTAATGCATCGATTGTGCTATAATTTTTTTTTAAACCGAGAAGTCATTATATATGCCTTAACCTTATCTTCGCAATTAGTCATGTAAGTAATGTAATTAGGGCTACTGAAGCTAATTTGCTATGATGGAGATTAATTTGTAGGATATGCATTAATAATTATTTTATCTGCATCTTCTTGAAAGTCGCTCAAAAGCTCTCTCTCTGTGTATAATCTTGAGAGACCTTTTTCAATGCTTTTAACATCACTCGAGGACTCCGTTCAAAA